TACACGGCGATTATGGAGCCATGCTGGTCTTTAGGAACCACCCTTGTTCTAACAGTCCAGGACTGAATAGAGAATACTATTCTAGGCTGCATCAACAGAAGTATAGTGTCCCGATCAAGGCAAGTAATAGTACAGCGGTACCTCGGGTTACATACGCTTCAGGTTACAGACGCTTCAGGTTACAGACTCCGCTAACCCAGAAATAGTACCTCAGGTTAAGAACTTTGCTTCAGGATGAGAACAGAAATTGTGCTCTGGTGGCGTGGCAGTAGTGGGAGGCCCCATTAGCTAAACTGGTATCTCAGGTTAAGAACAGTTTCAGGTTAAGAAAGGACCTCCAGAACAAATTAAGTTCTTAACCCGAGGTACCACTGTACTGCTCTATTCTGCCTTGGTCAGACCACACCTGGAATGCTGCGTCCAGTTCTTGGTGCCACAATTTAAGAAGGATGTTGACAAGCTGGAACGTGTTCAGAGGAGGGTGACCAAGGTGATCACTGGTCTAGAAGCTCAGCCTTATGAGGAGCGGTTGAAGGAGCTGGGTATGTTTAGCCTAGAAAAGAGGAGACTGAGAGGAGCTATGATAGCCATCTTCAAATATCTCAAGGGCTGTCACAGGGAAGATGGAGCAAGCTGGTTTTCTCCTGCTCTGGAAGGTAGGACTTGAACAAATGGCTTCAAGCTCCAAGAAAGGAGATTCTGACTAAACATCAGGAAAAACTTTATGACAGTAATTGCTGTTTGATGGTGGAACGGTCTTTCTCAATAGGTTGTGGACTATCCTTCCTTGGAGGTTTTTAAGTAGAGGTTGGGTGGGTGTCTGTCATGGATGCTTTAGCTGAGTTTCCTGCATGGCAGAGGGTTGGAGTAGATGACCCTTGGGGTCCCTTTCAGCTCTAAAATTCTATGATCCTAACAGGCTAGAACAGGAGGCAATAAACTTGGCAGCCTTTAATATACAAAAATAGCACAATAGTAAGCTCTAGATAGGGGACGCGGGTGGCGCTGTGGTCTAAACCACAGAGCCTAGGGCTTGCCGATCAGAAGGTTGGCGGTTCTAATCCCCACGATGGGGTGAGCTCCCGTTGTTCAATCCCTGCTCCTGCCAACCTAGCAGTTCGAAAGCACGTCAAAGTGCAAGTAGATAAATAGGTACCGCTCCGGCAGGAAGGTAAACGGTGTTTCCGTGCGCTGCTCTGGTTCGCCAGAAGCAGCTTAGTCATGCTGGCCACATGAACCGGAAGCTGTACGCCAGTTCCCTCGGCCAATAAAGTGAGATGAGCGTCGCAACCCCAGAGTCGGTCACGACTGGACCTAATGGTCAGAGGTCCCTTTACCTTTACCTAAGCTCTAGATATGTGGGCTGGAGAGTCTCAGGATCCTGAGTAGACCGTGCCAATGTTACACAGAGATTAGTGGGCCATCAGTGCAGGAGAATGAAAGGATGGCACTGCCTATGTCCTATTCATTCTCCTCCAGTGGCAATCTCAGTTACTGGGCAGGAAAGCAGGTCTTCCATCCCTTTCCATGCAAACAGGTTTATAAGAAAACTCTGTGGAGGCTGGACAGCCAGGAACAGCCGTAGCAGCAGCTCAGCAGCAGACCATAAATGCACCTCTCCTCTTCCGCACACACAAACACACTTCAAAACCACGAAAAGGAGGCTGCATAGGTAGTCCTACATCCTCAGCACAAATCAGACTTGTGGTGAAAATGAGCAGGAACAGCATGCCAATATAATGTTTTGCAACTTCATATATCATGACAAGTGACATGCTTTTAAAATAAAATATGCTTTTAAAATAAATATGAGGCTGTGTTCTCAGAAGCAAATGGGGATAGGGCAGAAATGCAGACTTACATCATTTGCACTTTGCAAAACAATATGCAAACTGAAACGCAGCTATCCTTTGAGATTTGTACTTCTCCAAATTTTGCGCTGTATGTAGTACTCCAACCAAAAAAGCGTGAACATAAATGTGCCTATTAGGGGAAAGCATGCACATAAGGAAATTAATAAATTGGTGTAAATAACATGCAGATATGTGTTATGTTAAAAGGAATTCCATGCAAAAATACGTATATTGGAAGAGATATGCACTGAAAAGTTGGTGGATTTTTGTGAGGACCTCATTGAAAGCTGATGCAAAGATGTGGTGAACTAAGGTGGGAAGATTAGAAGCCGATAGAAACCAAAGCTGATAGATTTGTCTATTCCAAAAGGCAAGGCTAGCGCTTAATTGATTTTAAAAGATAGGTGCTCCCTGAATAGGAGCTCTGTTATCTGCCCCAGAAATAAAATCCTGTTCCTTAAAGCCACAGCCAGTAAGTGTAGACAATGCTATGACAGACAAACCAATGGTCAGACTTTGTATAAGGTCGCGTTGGCATATTTCAAAAAGTGAAAAACTCCAAAACGCCTAAAAACATGACAAAGATCCAGGACAAAACACTGCCTTTCGGAAATCCTCTCCCCCGGACATCAATTCCGCCATTGAAATCCCAGTAATTTCAGTGAAAATCTGGAAGTATGGCAGCCCTATATAAGGCATTTTCCCATGTCCCTCTCTTTTCTTAGAGATAGAGATGCTGTACACTCTTAGAGAGTGTACAGCACATGCTTTACTTCTGTTGACATATTGGCATTATAAGATTTCTGTAGTCAGAAGGGGTCAAAAAGGCTGCATTGCAAAAGAACGAGATGGCTGATCCAAGGTGGCTAGTCCATTTACCACTCCACCACCTCATTCTCCTGCAGCTTTAGTCCAGCCCTGGTGTGATGGCCTAGGAATCAGATTCAGAGGCTGAACCTGAGGAATCCCAGCCTGCACAGGAGTCCCTGCCTCCAGGACCAGCTGAGCCAGTGCTGGGGCTTGAGTTTGAAGGGTCCTCACCTGTGCTGGATCCTCAGGAGCAGACACCAGCTGAATCTGCTCTGGCTCCGGAGGTGATCGAGGACCCATTGCCTGCAGGTGCTCCACTCTTAGCCCCATCAGGGGAAGCTGAGGTTGCCTCTGGGTCTGGTAACCCTCCAGCCTCTCCTGAACTGCAGAGGCTCAGGGCAGAGAGTCGGAGGGAACTAAGTTCTCGCAGGAGGAGTGCTCGCCTTAAGGCCAGGAGAGGTAAGTCACCTGTGGACCGGGACCGCCCTATGCCTCGAGGCAGATAAAAGCCAGCCAGCCCAGTCCCAAGTTGCAGGAGCAACATTGTTGGTAACTGTCTGCACCCTGTCCTGCTCTTCTGCCAGAGTTCCTGACCTCGCCCGACTCCCTGCCTTGGACCCCGCTTCAGCTTTGACAGACAGCCTCCATACCGCACCCTTGACCTCAGACTGGACTTGGACCTCACCACACTGTAACCCCCCGGGAGCAGAACACCTTGCCTGGAAGCTCATAGATGACTCAAGGAGGTGATCCAAGCCACATGCTAGAAGGGGTTAACTAAATTTGTTCTTTGGCAGAATTGTACAGCCTGAGGCTCCGTGAAGCAGGCGCCCACTGTAGCTCAGTGGCAGAGCTCATGCTTTGCATGCAAAATGTCTTCAAGTAGGTCTGAGGAAAGATTCCTGTCTGAAATCCTGGAGATCCACTGCTAATCAGTGTTGACGGTACTAAGTTAGATGGACCAAAAGTCTGGCTCAGTATATAGGAGCTTCCTAGGTTCCCATAAGGCATTCCCTGGCTAACCCAAATGAACCCACAAACCACAGGCTGCTTCCGCGTCTCTAGCTGACTCATACCTTGCAGCAGATATACCACGATAACGACATGATTCTGGAAACAAGAGGCCAGATTCTGTTCCTGCTTCTGTATTTCATGTACCTACCACCTTAAAATAAATTCAACTCCCACTTGTTCACGTCTTGTTGTACAGTTTTGACAACTATCTGTTTTATCCGTAGCCTTATCCTTAACGGGCCTCAACAAGTTTATACTAAGCAGTTTCTATGAAATGTTCCCATTCAGCAATTGCTGGGGAAAGGGGGATAAAAGAACATATACAAGTTAATTAACAGATGGGGGCCTGGCAGTGTCTCGTGGCTTGTGTCCCTAACCCCACCCCAAGATACAGACCCAGAAATACAATAAAGATTACAAGCTGATGGAATTTTGGAAATTTGTGGCAGCTGAACATTAATTCTCACACTTGGGCCAGTCATGCTTCTTCAGCCTATCTTGCATGCAGAGGCACCGAATTCCACGCAACTTGGGTGGAGGTTTGTCATGTGCACAACTCACCTTTTGAGAGGAGACCACAAGGCCTGGTGAAGCCCTTCACCACCGTGGGTAGGTCTGATGGGGGGAGGCCTGGCAAGGTTGCAGCCCCTTAAGATTGGGGGGGTGTTCAGCCCCAAATCCTGCATACTTGGGGGGGGGGGCTGAGCCATCCTCAGACCCATAGAGTTGGTGCCTATGCTCACATGGATGTTGTGAGGATAAAACAGGGGAGAACTGTGCAGACCGCCTAGAAGGAAAGGTGGGGCATAAATGTAATAATAAAATATATAATAATTTTTGAAAAATCTGATTATCTGAGGTCAGACTTTTGGGCAGCTGAGGTGGACCTCAAAATGGCACCACCAGGGAATAAGAGGTAAGGGAAGATCTACATCGGGAATAAGGAGGAAGGAAGAGCAACATCAAGTTCTGTTGCCCCGGTGAATTCTGCTGCCTGAAGCAGCTGCCTCACCTTGCCTCATGGGTGGGCCGGCCCTGACTGAGGTATCATCTAGAACAGGAGTTGGGAACCTATGGGGCCAAATGCAGTCCTCCACTCCTTTCTATCTGACCCTCTGGACTTCCCCAGACCATGCCCATCTGCAGGCACTCACTGGACCTGCTCCACAATCTCCCTGACTGGTTTTGCCTTGGGCTGGATTGTGTCCTTGAACTGTGGTAGGAATCAAGGTCAGAACATTGGTCCATGTAGCTCAGTACTATCTACAGCAACTGGCTGTAGTTCTCTGCGGTCTCAGGTAGAGGGACAGTCCCTGTCGTAAGTAGCGATGCCAGGGATTGAAACTGGGACCTTATGCATGCAATGCAGATGCTGAATGACTGAGCCACATCCCTACCAAGGTACAATAAGTGAGGATGCTTTTTGCTTGCCTACATGGAGAACAGAGAGATTGGGAGTAAGTTTTGCCAAAACCTCGGACTTTTGTGTGGTTGGACTGTAGCTACTGTACAAAGGTAAGAGTCGCCTCCATTGCTTCGCCCACTTTTTGGCCCACACATATGCAGAGTGGTAGGTGGAGGAAGAAGAAGGAGGTATTTGGGGGGCGGGGACTGGGAGTTGAGATTTTCTCCCTTGCCTGCTCCCGGCCCCAGTGGCACTGCCTGGACTAGGCTCTTGGCTGGTTCACAGCTCTGCCTCTTAACCGCCATACTTCACTAATTACAGTGGAGCCGTGCTATAAACATTCACACGTTGGCCTCGGAAACAGCAGACAACATGCCCAGAAATCTTTTATTTTTTCTCTCTCTAGAAATAATCCTACAACAACAGATGTCTATTTTTGGATCATCGAAGAAGGAAGCAGGTGGGGGAAAGGATGCACAGCTGTGCCCGGGTTGGAAAAGGTCATGTCTCGGAAGATAACCGATTAGGAGCTCAGAAATCAGAGCAGGAAATAAGATACAGGCCTAAACCCGATAGATGTTCACAGTGTTACAGACACCATGACCCTCCCTTATGTTTTGTTACCCAGAGTCTGCCGCGATGGCGGAAAGATAGGGATCTGCTTTGCTTACCAAAATGTAACATGCGCAGCAGGAGAGCCAAGGGGAGATTATTCTGCGCCACTGCATAGGCACAATGGTGGGAGGCACTGCGACAGCATGGAGTGGCAAGACTAGCGCAAATATTGGAACAGGATGTTTCCCTGCGAACCACCTTTTCCTCCCATTCTTTGGTGAGGCTGAATGGTCACGACTGGCACCTTTTTGGTACTTCAAGTAGAGTGTGTTGTGTGTGTATGCGTGTGTTGTTCAGCACAGCAAATTTGTGCCCTGACCATCAAGACAAGCCACAGAACAACAGCTTTAGAAGAAAAGGCATCGCTTTTCAGTGGTGACGGGCTTTCAAAGGCAGGTTAATTATCTATATGGCGTATGAAGGACTGTGTTCTGCAACAAATGCGTGGTTGCCTGGAGATTTTCCCTGGGGGAAACATGAGCCAGAACTGCCAAGAGGCACAGATATGATTATCTCAGTAAAAGCAGGTGGGCCTCAAGGGAGATATTACAAGCGATATTCCCAGAACAGCACTGCCTTATTGATGGTAATGGGGATTTACCAGGTTAATGGAGTAAAGAACAGGCCTACCTGTCTGATTGACAGGATTGATGGTCAAATTACATAAGAAGCAGGGTTAAGCTAAAGTTAATCTAAAATTTTAGTTGATAAATATATGGGGTGGTCAATTTAATTGATGGAGCTGAAGCTGGAAAATGCGCTTGTTTGAGGGTTTTTTAAAGCATTTTTTAATCTGGTGTTACCTTTTTCACTGTAATTTTCCTAATTTATTTCACACTTCCATAACTCACCAAAGCACCACTAGCAGTTGTAATTAGCAATTGCATTTACATTTGATTAATCAGATTAATCCATTGATTTATTAGCAGAGACTTTTATCACTTGGCAACCTCAGTGAGAACATATCCAAATAAGCCAGCAACCATAAACAGCAAATACATTTTTGTACTGCAGCCTGTAAATCTACAAAATAGTAAGACCGATTTGTAGCTGTTTAGGTCGGATCTAGGTTATGCTCACTGACCTACTAGCTAGGCATGCCTTAACTCACATTAATTTCAGCAGGACTTAAGTGATCTGGATTTCATTTCTGTCATCTGATGTTCATAACTAACAGCATAGGACTGTACATGTCTACTCAAAAATACATCCCATTGAATTCAATGGGAGTTGCTCTCTGGAAGCCTTAGTACCATGTTTAGGGTTTATTCATCAGTGGAGAAACTCAAGAGGACACTTCCTTTATTTATGCTTTCAAGTAAACATTTATAAAATACACAGAATCAAATCTACTGCCTCTTGCTCAATATGAGTCTTACTCTCAAATTTAGTAGGTAAGATAAAGGACCCCTGGACACTTAAGTCCAGTCAGGGGCGACTATGGGGCTGCGGCACTCATCTCGCTTCAGGCTGAGGGAGCTGGCATTTGTCCACAGACAGCTTTCCATGTCATGTGGCCAGCATGACTAAACTGCTTCTGGCGCAACGGGACACCGTGATGAGTGCCACAGCACACAGAAACACTGTTTACCTGCCCACCACAGCGGTACCTATTTCTCTACTCACACTGGTATGCTTTTGAACTGCTAGGTTGGCAGGAGCTGGGACAGAGCAACGGGAGCTCACCCCATTGCACAGATTCGAATCGCCAACCTTCCGATCAGCTAATCCAAGAGGCTCAGTGATTTAGACCACAGCGCCATCTGCGTCAAATTTAGTAAGAGCATATAATTGCATATAACATTTCAACAGACATTTAATGGAAATTGCACTCACTCACTCAAACCTTCTGTTATTACCAACTATTAGAGGAACTCTACAGCACAGACATTTTAATGCAAAATAACAACCTCGTGCTATGATGCCACCAAAACTACATTTTGAGCTATAGCAGAACAATCCTTTCATACAGTAGTTAAGATCTACAAAACTGTGTTGCGTTTTAAGATGGGAGTTCACTGTGGTATCAGTGCACATAAAGTATTTCTTCATAATCCACATAACATTGTTGTCATCAAAATGCCACCTGACATTTTCTTCTTCTTCTTTTACATTTAATCCAATTTTCTCCTTACCATGGAAAACCCAAGAAGTGCAAAAGTAACCATTATGCACCTGTGGTCACTGATGGTGTGGAAGCTCATAAGCACATAGGAGGAGGGGATGTTGTCATATGTGTGGTGATGTTTTGGTTTGTCTTGTTTTAATTGCTGTGGTGTGTTTTTTACTCAATGGGATTGCTTTATTATGAATTTGAACTACAGATGTTTATAATTTAATGTCTGTGTAAAAAGGTTTTTTTAAAATGTTTTGTCAACTATTTAGAAACAGTATTCTCCAACCAATCAATTACTTAATTATAATAAAACAGGTGAAGGCTATCAAATAAAAAAATAAAAAATGCTGGTTGCAGTTCAGTGAACATATCAGCCTACAAAGCTTTCTGAAAAACTATTCAGATGTTGAAATTGCAGCATCGGTCTATATCAAGCTATTTTTAAACTAGATCTATATGTAAGAACCTGCTACCACACCTTCCTCCACCAAGACTTCTTACTTCCTCAATGCAAAATAAGTATCTATTTTTATCTTACAGGTGTTGGAAAGATTGAAGGAACTTGTATGCAGCTATTTTTCAGTCATGGGAAGCTCTCAGTTGAGAATTAAACATTTGTTGAAAAGTGCAACTCTCCGATCCCGGATTCATATGCTAATACCTAGTTTGTCTCACAGTTATCCCTCCTTTCTCCCTCACAAATTATGGGTTAGATCAAGACTTAGCCACCATGCTTAGAAAAGACCCATTAAAATCAAAAAGTCAATTACAACTCTTTTAAGGCCCATTGATTTCAGTGCCTCATAACTAGAATCTGGATCCCATTTTTCTGGCATGTGAGTTCACAACCTGAAAACATAAGGTGTGATGCTAGAGATGATGGGAGTTGTAGTTCAACAACATCTGGGGACCCAAGGTTGAGAAAGGTTCCTCTAGGGTGTTCAAAGGGCTTCATGTTCATTATGTAAGCAGTCCTTACAACAGCCCTCAAGGGTAGGCCCATAACTCCCTTATCGCAGAAGGAGAACTGGGAACGAGAGAGACTGTCTTGCCTAAAACCATTTGGCGTGTCTGCAGCTCAGGTGAGATTTTATCATTCAACCTCAAACTGCTATACCAGTTCTATATCTTTGCCCAAAACAAAACAAAACAAAACAAAGCATGGCAAACAAATCAGCAAAGGTTCTCAATTTAACCAACAGATGATATATGTCTTATAATAAGCAAATAATCCGTCTCATTTTCCCTTGCTAGCTGTTTGCCATGTCTAATGCTGCTATATTAGATCCCAGTTCAGTTGCAGGTGAAAATCTCTTCCCAAATGAACTAGTGCACAAAATCGAGCTTTGCAGGACTGCGGCATGTTACAAAATGTTCCCTTGCATGCATTATTGCCGGTGAACATTTGATGCTTGAATGTTCAAAGGCATTTAAAAGCACACATCTCCAAACAAAATTAATCTTGCCATATGTCTGAGGCTTTCGCCACATGTCGCTAGCCAAGTCAAGGGCATTCCTCACTGTGAACCAGAGGAAATAAAGCTCCCATATCAATTTAGATCTTTCAGCGTTACTGCGTGAACAGCTGGCGACAGGCAACGATCAGTTACACTTAAGTCTCTAATGTTCCTTCACCTACATATTTGACTATCCACATGTTCATGCAATTTGCAGTTGCTTAAAATAAGTCATCCCTTGTCGTAGGCTATGGATCTTTGACACCAACCTAATTCTAGGTCCCATTTACTTAAATATTTAGCAAATCTTTTACATTTGCTTTTTTTAAAAAACCCCCGCAATGTTTTGTTTTTATGGGTACAGTGGTACCTCAGGTTACAGACGCTTCAGGTTACAGACTCCACTAACCCAGAAATAGTACCTCGGGTTAAGAACTTTGCTTCAGGATGAGAACAGAAATCGTGTGGCGGTGGCGCGATGGCAGTGGGAGGCCCCATTAGCTAAAGTGGTGCTTCAGGTTAAGAACAGTTTCAGGTTAAGAACAGACCTCTGGAACGAATTCAGTTCTTAACCCAAGGTACCACTGTATTGTGAGGGGGAGGAATGCTTGTGGGCACTCCCTGGTGACAGCAGGGGGCTACAGGGGTGAGGAGTCATTGGGGAAAGGCCATAGCTTAGTAAAGAGCATCTGCTTTGAAGGTTTTGGCCCCAGGTTCAGTCCCTGGCATCTCCACATAGGACTGGGAGAGACCCCCAATCTGAAATCTTGGAGAGCCACTGCAAGTCAGTGTCAATAGTATG